ACCCTGCTTTTCCCTTTTTTCCTTGAAAGTAGCAGTATTTCTAACATAAAGTTGCATCTTCCAGCTAGCCTTCAATTAAAGTAGATTAAGCCCTGGAGCCAATGGAAAAGAGAAGTTTTTCTACTTGACTCTATCAGGGCACAATTTTACTCACAAAGTCTTTAAAGCTGTGAAAAGCTGCAACTGATGAGGAACCTCATTTCATTCCAGTTGACATCTCATATTCAGAGAAAAGAAGAAAAAAAAAAAAAAAAAAAAAAAGAAGAAAAAAAAAAAAAAGCAGATCCTGAGAGCCCTGCAGACCAAAACAACTGCAGTCAATGGTAGAACTCTGTCCCAGGCCTATGTACATAAAATATTTGCCATTACCAAGTGACAAGCAGACAGCTTCTGCGAGAAACAAATGAGTTGGATTGTCCCACTGGTAGGCTAGATCAGAGAGCAATTAAAGACAGATAGAAAATCAGAAACAGACATTCTAAAAAGATTGCCTTCTCTAACCAGCAGCAAGGGAAGAACAGGAGCAGCAGAGAGGAGAGCCTTTGTTTTCTGCATCAAAGGCACGACTGCATGACTCAAATGATGAGCTGAGTCCCACGCATCAGCCTCACCCAGTTCAGGCATCAGTTAGAAGGGCACAAAGGAAAATGATCGTGAGAGCCCAGAAAATTATCTCAGATCCCTGTGCAGATCCTGTACAGGCAATCAACAAAAGAAGCCCATCTTTTACACACAGTTGAAAAATTGAAACCCCTGGTCCTCTAAACAACAGCCAAGACAGCATCCTGGTTGCAGGAGATTGCATCTAAGATGCCAAGCAGCAAATTAGATTTTCTGCTGCATTTCACTAAGCAAAGAGGTAGAGTTTTCAACACCTCAGGCTGCTGCTAATTCCCTTATGAATCCACTTCCCAATCTCCACGGTCATGCACATTTGACTTGCCATTGCAATTTTCAACAAGACTTCTCTCACTGAACCTCTGATAACCTTGTAAATTAATCCATCTGCAGAGCAATGGGAAATAAACTCTGTGAAGTTACTATTCATTCTTCCAGTTGGCAAGAAGACCAAGCTGTCCCAGTGAACTCAAACAGAGTGATTTATCCCCATGCTCTGCATCATCCTATATCTGTGGGAAGCAAGCAGATTATTAGGGCAGAACTCTTCACTTGAAATCACAAAGAAAAAAGAAAGTGAACCAAGTAAAACAGTTCAGAGTCAAATTTGGCCCTACAGATGTATATTAAGCATATGGTTTCCAGGTGTATTAATAATGGATTCTCCAAAATCTGGAACCTTCAGCAAGCAGAAGGAGGCTGAAAGTATTTCAGGTAGAAATCATCACATCAAAATAAAATGCAGCAGCCCCAAAAAAGCCAAGCTGCACTGGTTAATCATGACAGAAAGTGTTCAGCTGGTTATACCAATCAATGAGCTACAAGTCCAGCCCCCAAGTGAGATGACCAGAGGAAGTGTCTATTCAATGTTTCATCATTTGTGGATCCTGACTTACAGCAGTGAGGTGGAAACAAATCTCTGGTACTAAAGGTACATTGCTTCATTCAGCACAGCACGGAATTGATAGTTATCCTGGTCTCAGTTAGGAAATCTGGGAGCTTGAAATACCGCCTCATTCTAAATAGCTGTGGTAAGGTTGGTGCTCAGCCATTGTCAGTGCAAAAGACAAGCTCTTCAACAGGGTACTTCACAGCAATGAAATCAGATGAATGTTCTGAATTGTCTTTTCTCCACAGATAGAGAGGGAGGCTGCTGAAATAATCTGCATAAGCAGCATCTTCAGTGATGTAATGATAATGAGAAGGAACATCTCCCCTTTACCTTTTGCCTAGTTAATTTTGTCAGTCTAAACTATTGCGCCATTCAAACGAAAGATAGGTTGAGGCCTTCAAGCTGGATTCAAGATCCAAACTTCTTCAAAGCAATGGCAGAATTGGCTTGCTAGATTGAACAGGGCTCTTTCTCCACTAAGAGTTATTTGATGGCAGCAAATATATTGCAGAACAAAAGAACAGGCCTGCCTTGTCCTACACTTTATTACAGTGATGAGGCCCTTTTTGTCAAAGGGACTGCTCAATGCCATTGTCTCTCACTTTTCAGCAGCAGGATTGTTTCTGGGTCCTTAAAGATCTAGCCTCTGTTCCTGTCTGAATATTATGGAGACAGCTGTCAAATGTCATTCTTTCAAGTGCCATCTAAAACAACCAAAGTCAATATGTGTCTTTTCCTGGATTAGACTCCTTAAAAATTGCAGTATTTTGCAAAGAAAAAAAGTCAATCCCACTTTTCAGCTTAAATTCTATTGTCTGCCCTTGGCTAATAAACTTTCTTAGATGTCATGAGTAAGCACTTTTTCTAAAAGAGACTAGTGATCCCAAATACAGACTGAAACACATTTTCAGGGGTTTTCAGGGGCAAATAACACATTCTTAAAAACAAGTTCCTCTTAAAGTATCACAAACTAGGTGCTATCACAGCCAAAAAAAGATGATGCTGGGAAATGCAGGCCCCATCATGAGGACCTTCCAAATGCTCTGTGATGCCATGCATCAGATAAGGGAGACAGGGAATCAAAAGTGGGGTGACTTGCATCTGAAATATAGAATCAATTTGGGATGGGGGGTGACTTCAGTGTATACATGAGAGAAGCTCATGTCCAGGGAAGAATACGACATGTGTCTAAAAAGGTGCAAAAAAGCTCCAGCCTCGAGGCATTCTGTTTGAAGAAGAAAGAGCTCTATGATCTGACCATACTACTATGCAGAACCTTTCTTTAGCCTACCAGAGAAAGCACTGTAAGAAAATTTGCTTAACAGTTGAGAACCTCAATTATGTTTTATAATACTTCTTTGATAAAGGGAAAAAATCCTTAGTGTCCGTTAAAAGAACGCAGTCAAGCATTCTGAAATGTTGTGTTAAAAGTTTGCCAAAATTTACATGACACATAATGAGCATTCATTGTATAAGCCCACAACAGGGGATCACTGCTGCCTTATTACATGTATTTCCCTTAGGTACACATGCAAAGTGCATCTTAACAAGAGAAAAATAACATTTCTTTTTGCAAGACCCTTCCCTGAATGACAAAAGGAATTTCAATGGTTTAATCAGCTCCAAAATGTGCTGATAAGCAGCAGTTCTTTATAGGAAGGGTCAAGAATGCCTAATTAACTTGGCATTGTATGTAGACCCTTCTCTTTAGTGAAGTGATTTAGTCAGTTACCATAACAGCTACCTGTAAGAAGGTAATACAAATCATCTTGTATTCACTGGAAAACCTTATAGGCTTTCACTTAGACTTCTGTATTTCTCCATGACCCATGACTGCATCACACGGCAAACAAACTTCACTACATGGAAAAAGCATTTACCAGGCAAAGTAGTTTTCAATGCTTTTGGTATTTTGTCAGTAACTTTAACACCCTTACTGCTGGTTCATAGTTTTGGCCAGATCTCCTTCAACAGTGAGATGTCAAACTCCCAAAAGAAAGTGGGCTGGAATCCATTTTCAATGGCCTCAAACATATGGTGTTCAAGAAAAAAAAGCTGCCAGTAAACCATATCAGTCCATGCTTTAAACAAAACTCGAGGGATTTTTTCCCTGATAAGACGACTAAATTTAGATAGAACTTGAATGAAGCAGTAGGCTCACGCTGGATGGGCAGTGCCAAATGACACATCTGAGCATGGTACAAATGCTCTACAACACCATGGAACCCAGAAGTTGGTGATAAAGCAAGGCCAAGAGGTATTCTGTGCAGTTCTTAGATACACACGTGCCGTGAGTTCATAGACAGACACAGCAGCTCTACGTAGGTCAAATTCATTGGGGTGCACCAGGATTTTCAGTTTTTTTGGCAAGCACACGAGGATCCTTCAGCTCCTACCTAGACAATCACCAGAAGCAGCCAGGAAAGAGCTCAGCAGGTTGTCTCATCTGGAGAATGAGCACTCAAACAAAAGTACCTTCACTTCCTAGCGCTGAGCTAGGTGTATGAAGTGTATGTTAACATTACACGTGGACCCATGAGAATGTGATTCAGAGTTAAGAACATTACATGCATTAATGCCAATACACCTGATTTAAGAATGTGACTATCACAAATAGGAAGCAGAAATCCCCATGCCAGCACAACTCTAACTACAGTACTGAGAGCTCACTCTTCTCATCATGTGGGTGCAGCCAGGATTTTGAGCTCTCCTAAAATCAGAATTCACTGGTACTACTGTGTTAGCTTTACCTTTCTTGCTTCTGGGATCAAAGGTGATACAGGGCATTAGCACTGGTACATCTATATGCCTTTCTGCAGTGAGGCTGGGTTCTCTGCACAGTCCCAGCACAAACACATTGCTTCCAAGATCCAGTCTTGTATCAATTCACAAAGCCAACCCAGCTTGTTCTGAGCTTTTTCTGCCATTTATAGATACTTACACTGTTCTTGGTAGATCTATCTCGCTAGAATTTAAATGCATTCCTTTAAATGCAATTATTTTTGCTTTACTCTGCAGGAAAAAAACGTAGCATATGACAAGATGAACTAAACCACAGTCCATATCTGTGTTACTCTGTGAAAGAACTGGCTCACACAGTCTTAGAGCTTTGATTTATCGCTCACCAAAGCCAAGGATACCATTAGAAACTCTCCTGGTAAGGACTAGATTAGGAGGGGGAAGATAAAGATACATTTCAGAGTTGTTAAAAAAATAAAATAAATAAATAAATTTAAAAACTGAAGTCCCAGCAGTCATGAAGCTCACCAGAAAAAAAATTTAGAGGGATTTTACTTCAAAAAATTGCTAGAAACTCCATGAATTTTTACAGTAACATGTTTTGTCGCTGCTGTATTTTTAACCCATTGCACTGATTGTAACACGATGTCAACAGCCTCATCAGTTATCCACTGCTAAAAAGTGAGCCCTAACATTCTGCAAGTGGTATTAATTGGTCTCAGTAGCACATAATGAGTTCAAACACTCCTACCTGTGTGTCCCCGGGGATGGTGGCTAGAGGCGGACAGCAATTTACAGCAGACCATTAACACATAGACCAGAAAAAGCCAGTCAGATAGAAGCATTGATTTGGCACAGAATCTCATCCTGGAGGCAGAAAAGGAAGAAGATGAGTGAAAGAACAACATGGGTAGGGAATAACATAAAAACCAGTGCTGGAAACTCTGTGAAGATACTGAAGAATAACAAATAAGGCAGCACTGACAAAAATCACTTTCACAGTTTGGCTGAAATCAATTCATTTTTTAAGTATGCTTTACCAATAGAAGAAACGCGATGGCTGTCACACATCAGATTACCACACATATATTTATAACAACGCCACACAACTGCAGTGCATCTTGGGCAGCGTTGTTTTTTGGTTAAGGTCCATCCACAAAACTTCAATATGCGTATTGATAAGGCGTGCTACTGTTTTTAAACAGCCCTTGCCTCAAAATCATAGAAACACCACAGTACAATGTCATCTGTATTTAACACCCCTTCGGGTCTATCACTCAAGTACACATTATCTGCTGGCTTTCCTGGACATCACTAGGCTTGCTAAGGGTTAAACAGTCATGAAACCATCACCTCAGCCAAATACATAAGGTCTCACTACTCTGTCAGTGTTAGAAACTATTTCAGAAAACAGTTGCCCAACAGAAGGCAGATGTTGTTAGTCTTATTTATAGGAGCGATAGAAATACAGCCACAAATCCCCAGTAATTTTGCTGCAAATATCTGCAATTAAATCCTTCAATAGCTTATGTTATGCCATTCATCATATAGAAAGTTAATCTGATCATTTTCTTAAACTCAATTATGATGATGTATTACTCGTGCAACACATAAATGTGCATTATGCACTTGAACTCCTAGATGTAACATTTCCCACTTTCAGAAAATGCTGTAAGCAGGAATACATCAAATTAATTAAAGGCAAATCACAGATTTGCATAAACTGAACTAAATACTGCTTTCATAGCAGCGTCAGTCTGTAGTTAATCAGCATGCTGGGATTTGGACAAGCCTATCACAAGCATTTTTATTTGCACCAAGAAGTCCTTTGAGAACTTTTCCCTGCAGATTTGAGTTCTGATTCCTCCAGGTACATTCTGAATTTTTTTTTACACCTATATATCTTTATAATACCTGAAACTGTTCAACTGATCAGATAACTCAAGTGATAATTTGAAAATAAACAAAAATAAAATTAAAACAATCCCATGCCTTAGCTTAGTCTATGGCAGGCAGGTTTTAAATCCAGTAACCATCTGCCAGTGAAAATAAAGCAGATCTCACATTCTCTCATTTGAAAGTGCTTGCCCGATTTTCCTTTTCGCTCATCACAAGACAACGCTGTTCTCTCAACATGTATTAATGAGAACATTGATGAGGCCCAAGTAATTCAGAAATGCACTTCTTCATATCAAAAGTTAAGAAGCCAGAAACCTGCTGCAAATATATTTTAGCAACAATCACTATTTGTACCTGCTGGTTTGGGATTCCTTTGTTTTTAATCAAGGAATTGTTCTCCCCCTTCAGCTGTCCTTGTAGTCTTCAGCCCATCATTATATATATATATTTTTAAAAGCTTCACATTTATTGTAAAATAACACAGAATCTTAAAGAAAAAAATAAATAACCCATATTTTAAGGATTGATTTGGGAAAAATATGTATATTAAAATATGTTAAGAAGATGCTCTGTTTTGAAATCAATTTAAGAAGAAACAGATTCCTTATTAACAGTGCGTGATTCAGGCTTCTGCAAGCATGAATCAACCAATCAAGAGACAAAAACTCCAGTGCTCCTTATCTATCCTAGAAGTATCCTCTTACAGAGCATCCTAAGCTAATTCACAGCAGTTACACTTCAGCTGATAACCATGGGCCTAATTCACCTGCACCCAGCTGAACCACAGGAGGCGAGTGCAGCTAACGGGGCTGAGTGAGAGTGAAGGCACAAGTGTTGTTATTGCTGTTGATCTTCATCCGGGTAAACTGCACAGCAGGTATTAAAATCAATCTACCATTTCAGAGTTCAGTCCCCAGATTTTCCCCAGATAATGACAGTAACGCCACGCTATTGAGGAGAGAGCTGAATTTAACCATTTAACCATTGTTTTCTGTCTCCTCTTATGACAACAGTAACACGTGGCTTGTACCCTGTGCACCAGTACCTCTGAATAGGAAGCCAGGATTTACTCATCTTGCTCATCAACTCTCCGCTGCCCTAAACCCGAACACAGATATTTGACCCAGGTATCAGTGGACATCCCAGGTCTGGTGTCACTCTGTAGTAATGTAATGAAGATAGGGACCTTCCTTCAGGTTTCCTAAGGTGTTACTAAAAGCAGGATTTAACCTTTGAAAGTAAATACTATAGACAGAAATTCTGAGCGTGTCATTTCTGGTGTGACTTGAAAATTGGGACAGATATTTGGCCTCAAATCATGCACTGGCTGCTCAACAGCTCCTTTTTCAGAATGTAAGTGGATCCAGGTGTTCCACCATTCCCATTAGAGGAGCGAGCCCAGGCTCAGTGGAAATGTGAGCTGACATCATTTCAAAGTTTTCCCATGTTATGAAAGTCTGACTGCATTGAAACCAGGACCCTGATGTTAGATAGGTAATGGGAAACAAGGTTCAACTAGCATAACAGAGTAAACTTAGTCTTGAGTAAGTACATTTGAGTTCAGAAATAAGTGAATCACTAAAAAACATCCATACAGTTATATCCAAGCTGAGAGGCTGCTAAAACCATTCAGTGTCACTAAAACGATACAACAATTGCAGACTTCAGGTAGACAGGATACAAGTCTTCAGCCCACTAACATAGAGAAATACAGGGTGATCTTTAACAAGACAAGGGATGGATGAAATTTGGCAGACAGATGCAACAAGGGGTGCTGGGCCCTTCAGCATCAGCAGGCTGCCACTCTCAGAAATGTCAAGCCTTAGCTCTCTCGGATTCAAGTGCATAGTGTTGCTAACCACAACAGCAAATCTTCAGTGTCATTTGAAAGCTAAAAAGCACTCTTACCTTGGGGACTTTGCAAGAATTTTGTTCCAGTCAAACACAATTATTTCAGTGTGTTTTTCATAGTTATTCCAGATTCCCATTTGCGGCTGCAGATAAGCCTTTCTGCATTTCAGAACGTTCTCTTCACTTTGGGGACCTACAAAGAAAGCCATATTACACTGCAATTAACAACTAGAATGATGCTGTGAAATAGATCTTTGTTATTAAAATCGTTGCTTCACAGTGCCATCTACAGTACAACCCGATGCCAAAGGCAGCAAACACTGCTCTTCTCACTTGTTTAAAAGAACACAGGGAGAACTGTGTGGAGACAGCTGTGAAATACCACTACATTAACTACATTTAGGCTGCATGTGGCTCTGGGCAGCCTGGTCTGGTGGTTGGCGACCCTGCACATAGCAGGGGGGGTGAAACTACATGATCATGAAGGTCCTTTTCAACCCAGGCCATTCTATGTTTCTATGATTAACAAAAGGCAGAGTTTGCTCCACTGAAAATTATACATACAAGGCATGCTGCTTACTGTGGGCTGACAACCAAGTGTCCTCTCTCCACACAAATGCCATGGGAGCTGTTAGATTGTGGAAGGACACTGCCACGGTGCAAACAGATTTCTACACGATTGCTTGAAACCTCCAACAAATTGAATAAGAGGTTATTAAACGTGGAGTGAAATCCTTCACCATATTCATAAAGATTTGGCCAAGGCCCCTGGAGTCCAGCCCCGAAAGGAGCAGAGAGGGTCCACAGGGCTGCATCCATAGGATCACGTCTGTGTGATGAACGTTTTACTGCACCCACTGATGCTTTTGGTTCTACTTGCACCATATTCAGGCCAAGCCCAGCTGCACCCAGAAGCTACATTTCCAAGTCATTATATGAAGATAGTTTTCTAGCACTAGTGACACGCATTCCACCGAATAACGAGCTCAAACACTCCAATTCATAGGCAGCCAAGTCTCTTTGCTTTTATTGTTTATATTCGTTCTCTCACTCCTATCCCTGGGCTCAACTTGACCTTCTGTTATTGGAAACAAGACACAATGTAATTTGTGAGAGTAATAATAATGTGGTCTCCCCTGATGGAGTGATCACAATAAGCTTTTCCCATGTTCTCCCACCACTCCTTTCATTTCAGTAGTCCTTTGATCAATTGGAAACCCACTTTTTAAGAAACACAAAATTACATTAACACACACTGGGGGCAGAAAAGTCAGTAAGCAGACATCTTCCAGGAGCTTAGAACAGGAACGGCCCTGGCTCAACACACTCCATTTCTTCCTGCTCAGAACACAATGAGAAAACAGCAAACACTGGAATTAAAGCGGTACCAGGCCAACAATCCATAATTAACCACATTTTACTCCGTCTCAATCCTCAGATGTGGAGTTTCAGAGTGAGCCAAAGTCGCAGTGCAGCAGTTCAAATCAAAACAAAACGTGGGCAAAAAGATGTCTTAAGGCAAGCATTATATCAAGCCTTTCTTGTTAGTAGTTCTTAAGCGCATAAAATATTAAAAAATAAAAAAAATCAGTGTGCTTCCAAAGGCTTACTGAGAAGAAAAGCATGCAAGCAGGCTTTTCAATACAGTATTGAAAGACTGAAGTGCGGCGTGGTACATTTTTACCCATTTCATAATAGAACAGATAAATATATCCTCACAGTGCTCTTGCAGGAATCAATACCTCCATACACCAAATTAGGTTTTGGCGCTTCTTTGCTCTGTAATTTTTATCAGAGAGAAGGAAGAAGAACTTGAGATGCACCTACAGGTAAATACTAACTTCAGCGTCACCAAAGACACGTTAAACTCTGGGTAGAGACAGGGAAGTACTGGTTATCCCAACTCATTCTAATTAGAGGGATACAGCAAAAGAGGCGGATAATAATGCATATCCAGGGGCATTCTGATGCCTTGCAGGCACTGTATATTTCTTTTGACACAATAAGACAGCATTCTAAAGTAAGTACTCTTCCCACCAATATTTACATGTTGCAAAATGCCTCTTACAGCCACTTTCTGCAAAGGATGAATTACCAAACCTTTTTAAGCCATCTCTTATAATAAGCTATTCAATAATTTAGACAACCTCCATCCATCAAATATTCAGAAAGCCCTAATTCCTCCATTCTCTCTGACTCCTGAGGGGGGGGGGGCCGATGGAGGGGGGAGAGGGCAGTCAGGCTCCCGAAGGCTCCCGAAGGCTTCCGAAGGCTCCCGAAGGCTCCCGGCGGCCGCCGCCTCTGCCGCGTGGCGCTGCTGCCCCCTGGCGGCGCCGCGCCGCCTCAGCCGGCCCCATGCGGCGGAGCTGTCGTCGGCCCTTCCGAGCTCTCCTTTGTGCGGGAATGAGCTGTCCAGGCAAATTAAGTGTTATCATTAATCATGCTAACACGCTGCTGTCACAGAACTCCTCCGTTCACCCTCTCCTCTGGGAGCCAGGCTGCTGTGTGGGCAGACGCCAGGCTGAGCGCTGCTCCCAACCCTCGAGGTCCTTCGAGAACCCCCAGAAGTGCTTATAAGGCAATAATGCTTCAAATCACAGCCACGGGTTTGATCTGAAGCCTTCAAGTTGCGGTAAATTCAGCACGGCAAAGTTATTCCAGCAGTTCATTAACCTCCCTTTAAACACTGCGCCTAATTTCTAATCAGCGTTTGTCCAGCTCTGCTTCCAGGCATCCGATCTCATTAGGCTGTTTCTCCTTCTCCTCTGCTATCACACGCAGCACTTGCAGCCTGCAGCTCAGCCCTTGCTGAGCAACTTCACGTGTTCATTCGATGCAGGAAGCCTCTCCTTGAGAGGTTTTGCAATATTAAACCCATCACCTCGCTCTTCTCTCTATTGCTGCTGACTTCTCAGCGTCAGGTTTTTTGAAGTGAACACCAGAAGGTAAAGTAACTAGAGATGATCTTTATTAATACCACAACAAGAGGTAACCAACTTTCCAGACTGTACTCAGTGTTCTCTCATGATAGATCCTGTGCATCTTCCAAGTGGGTTCATCACAGTTCTGCCCATCCTCATTAACACCTACATCTATTAAGAAGGCTTTATGCAAACAGAAAGAGCACAAAACTGTGCACAGAGTAACATGAGACTGTTCTCCCATTGCAAGAAAGCAAAACTTTTACTGTGACCAGTTTCCAAGTCTTTACTCACAGACTAAGCATCAGCTTTTCTGCTGTAGTTCCCTCCCTACAGGTATTACTGAGAAAGGCCTGATCACACCAATTACTGAACTGCTGTTATATCCACATAGGATGAGGCATTGGTCCCAATAACAGTCGGCCTATCCACACTAATACAAATATCCTGTGTGCCATTTGTCTAGGGGCTCATGTGTCTGTCTTCATCAGCATTTGGAGCTCTTTCCAGGGTGTATCTGTCATTACTGCCCTGTTAGAGATGAGAACAAACCATCCATCCATTGTGGACTTGTTAATAGGATGAGCTGGGAGGGCTGCAGAGAGTGAGAGTATGAATCCTCTGTTGGAAAGCCTTCTTTAGCTGGACAAAAGGCCTCAAAGTTTAACCCGGTGGAGCTCAGGTCACACAGAAGCAGGAACAGAGGTATATAGAACAGGAAAACAAATTCAAGGTGAGAACAAACTGAAGGTGAAAACTAGAGGAGTGCCAGAAGCTTTCAAATTCACATAATGCAAGGAGGATCTTGAAATCAGAGCAGTTGCTGCCTTTGCTTAGGCAAAACAAGTCAGGTATCGACTCAGAACCTGACACTGTGAACTACAGGGCACAGCTTAGGTCCGCTCCAGGCAGGACAGCACTCATGTCTTCAAATACTCCAGCACCTGCGATTCCCAGCACTCTCAGTTTTAGAGAGCATTTATGTGGCCAGGAAAACTAGCAGCTGAGTTATGCTGGCACAAGTAGCTGATCACTCGCAGTCCAGAAATACGAGAAAAAATATAAGATCATCTAAATGAAATAGAATCTAATTTAGTACTTGAAATGTTAGGAAAAGATGTTAGAGCCTGCTCTCTCAACTCAAACTGAGCCAACATCTTTCCTTCAAGAAAAAATTCTACTAAGACCAATAGGATTACAGCTGTAATCCTGAAAATTATAGCTGTAAAGTGAAGACAGAATGTACGCTTTTCTCCATATAGCATTATTTATTATTCATAATCATCCTACAAAGAATCCTTCTGCCAAAGTAAATGCACAGAGAGGTAAGTAATGCTATCAAGGTTTCATTTTGAAGGTTTCACAAACAGGCTTCTCAACTTGGACAGCAAACACAGGATATTTCCTTGTTCCAGCCTAGCGTTTCAACTCTTTCAACTACATTTATCAGAGAGAATTTTTCACTGTGATTATCCAGGTTCTTTCAGGCCCTCACTGTAGCCTGTGAAACATCTCAAAGTCTTCCCCCTCCTGGCGTATGGCCTAGTTAAGAAATGGGCAGAATTGCAGGCACTGTGTTCAAGGAAGCACAGGATCTGCCTCAGCCCTGTTCAAAGAGGAGTCAGTATCCAGCTCCACTCCCAATTGACCTCCCCACAAGCAAAGCAGTGCTGTTGCAAAGCAGGCAGCATGCCAAGAGATATGGAGAAATGCATATCTGAAATAAATCTCTTCAGCAGAATGTTTCAGACAGAGCAAATATGCATTTCCCCTACTATAAGCTTTTTGCACCAGGTAGCAAAGTGGTAATTGGTTGCACAGAACATTTCAAGCAATAAAGACCCCTGTTTTCCATACCCTGGGTTGACGTAGGAATTTGATTCATTTCCATAGAAGTAAAAGATAACTGACCCATAGCTATAGAGTAGATCTCTTGCCTTTCTTCCCACTCACCAGGGACACAGGTGGGCTGGTAGGTGTTTTCACAGAGATCACTTGAACAGGGGAATGAAGGGTGAGGGAAACAGGTCCCATACCTGCTTGTGCCTCTGGATAAGGCAGTGGTCCCAGGGCTGTGCTGGCTTCTGCCCCACTGTGCATCCAGGCCTGGACTCACATGCAAGAAGCAAATGATCCCCAACTGCAGGTCTTCATACCTCAGAACCCTGAGCACAGACAGCCATCCAGTGTACATCTCTCATAAGTGGAGGAAAGTAGCAGCAGAAAGAATCTGGAAACACCTCCAAGGTGAACTGGAGTTTTTACACAAAGA